AGGGAGCAGGACAGGGAGCAGCAGAGTGGCCCCACGCCGCGCGCAGAGCTCGGGGCCGTTGGCTTTGTTGCTCTGTGCGCTCCCCTCGCAGCATCCCTGGGATGGATGGACGGACCGCAGTGCCCATCTGCTCCTCCTCCAGCGCAGCGCTCGGCCTCGAGTCCGGGGGGTTTGGAACACCTCTGGGAGCAGCGGGTTAAAGAAACGGCGATCCAAGGGCACAGCTCCTCCTTCCAGCTTAACCCTCTGCCGCGGGTGGAGTGGGCGATGGGACCCTCAGCACCAGTCGGCGTTACCAGCGGGCGTTATGAGCTGGGGATGCTCTGGGGATGCTCTGGGGATGCTCTGGGGATGCTCTGGGGATGCTCTAGGGATGCTCTGGGGATGCTCTGGGGATGCTCTAGGGATGCTCTGGGGATGCTCTGGGGATGCTCTAGGGATGCTCTGGGGATGCTCTGGGGATGCTCTAGGGATGCTCTGGGGATGCTCTGGGGATGCTCTAGGGATGCTCTGGGGATGCTCTGGGGATGCTCTAGGGATGCTCTGGGGATGCTCTGGGGATGCTCTAGGGATGCTCTGGGGATGCTCTGGGGATGCTCTAGGGATGCTCTGGGGATGCTCTGGGGATGCTCTAGGGATGCTCTGGGGATGCTCTGGGGATGCTCTAGGGATGCTCTGGGGATGCTCTGGGGATGCTCTAGGGATGCTCTGGGGATGCTCTGGGGATGCTCTAGGGATGCTCTGGGGATGCTCTGGGGATGCTCTAGGGATGCTCTGGGGATGCTCTGGGGATGCTCTAGGGATGCTCTGGGGATGCTCTGGGGATGCTCTAGGGATGCTCTGGGGATGCTCTAGGGATGCTCTGGGGATGCTCTGCATCCCAACCGTCCAAACTTCCTGCTAGTCACACAGCCCAGCAAACAAAGCAATTAGTGCGAATTGCTCACAAGTTACCTGACTCTAATTAATGACTGTTCTATCCTCTGTTGCTTAGTGATTCTCTCCCTTCTTATGCTAATTAGTCGCTTTTGAGTCGGTGCCCTGGGGGTCTCCCGGGGGGTTTGGGGTGGTCCCTGGTGGTGCCTTGTGCTTGTTGAAGAGATGTCCCTTAACTCTCCATTGCTGTTATGAGGTTTTAGTCCTGATTTCGGTGACACCTCAGTGAGGAGAATCCACCACCTCTCTGGGCAATCTGTTCAGTGCTTAGGGACTGCACAGCAAAGAAGTTCTTCCTGTGTTCAGGTGGAACTTCCTGGGCATCAGATTGTGCTGTTTTCCTTGTAGTATTGGTTTCCCTGTGGGCCAAGAGCTGGTTCCTCTCAGGGCCCCTAGTGTGGCCCAGCTGGTGGACAGGGATGTGCTGGAGCTGGTTGGCCACAAACCTTGGGAAAGATAAGGAGGTGTCTGTGTTGCTTAGGTAACTGCACAAGGTCAGGCTGCTGGTGCAGAGAAAGTAATGAGCAAAGGAGATAACAAAGGAGATAACTGTCCTTGAAAGAAGAGTTATTGCTAAGGAAAAAAAGGTGTTTAACTGTAAGTTGGTTTTCCTGTACTAACCAATGAATATGTACCCTCTTTGTCTTTGGTAGCCAATCAGTATAAAACACACTCAGCCCAAATTAGTCTAAGTTTGTACACGACAGCCTAATAAACTGACATTTTGCTTGCATCAAGCTGCATCCCATCTCTCAATCGCAGCATTTCCCCACTGAGCAGAGTCTGATCCTCCTCTTGGCACCTCCTGTTCATGGACTTGAATCCATTCCTGAGGTTCCTCTCAGTGTCTCTTCTGGAGGCTGAACAGCCCCAACTCCCTCAGCCTTTGCTCATCCCTGAGGTGCTCCAGTCCCTTCAGCATCTTCCTTGCCCTGCCCTGGAGCTGCTGCAGGAGCTCCATGTCCCTCTGGCCCTGAGGAGCCACAACTGGACACACTAGAGTCTCACACTCGTCAGTGCCTCAGTCTTTTCATGTGTGTTTTTAAGGCTGTAAAACTCCACTGCCTCAACATTCCCAGACTTTGGTTTTTTTCCAACACTCCTTCCAGGGAAGTTTTCATGCTGGTGGAGTACAGGTCTGTCAGCCCCACTGCAGTGCCTGGATATGGAGCTGTTAGTGTCCAAAGGAGAGTGACATGGATGGGGAAGGGTCTGGAGGGGAAACCACACAAGGAGCAGCTTGGGACAGTTGTTGAGCCTAGAAGAGATTGAGAGGAGACCTCATTTGTGGTCTGCAGCTTCCTCATGATGGGAAGAGGAGGGACAGGCACTGATTTCTGCTCTCTGGTGACAGGACTCAGGGAATAGGCTGAAGCTGTGTCAGGGGAGGGTTAGGCTGGAGCTTAGCAACTGGTTCTTCTTTCCCCAGAGGTGTTTGGGCACTGAACAGCTCCCAGGGCAGTGTCACAGCCCCAAGGCTGACAGAGCTCCAGAGGTGTTTGGCCAATGCTCTCAGCACAGGGTGTGACTGTCAGGGATGTCTGTGTAGGGCCTAGATGATCCTCGTGGGTCCCTTCCAGGCTCTGAACATTCTGTGGCTCAGTTCCTTTCCAGAGACCACAGACCCAGGGCTAAGCAAGGCCTAACTTTCCCCTTTGCCTATGTTAAGCCACACACTACAGCCAAGCTGTGTCACATGCAGCAAGGTGTGGATCTATGCTGTGCAGTGCCTATTGCTTTTGTGAGGTAGGAAGAACACTGAAATACCTGCTCAGCTACCACAAGACAAGGTAACATTGGGCCATCAGTGATGAATTGCTGCTCATTCAGCCAAGACCCTCAGATCCCATAACTGCACTTTCCTGCTCCATGTCCTGATCAGCAGATGCAGATCTATGACATATATGAGAACACAGAAAGGAGAATGCAAAGAGCTGCATAAAAATGGTATTTTAATAGCACATAAATAAGCACATTTAACTCCTGCACACATCTTTCAGGTCACACCACAGAACCAGTTTACAGTGACTCCAGAAAGGAAGGAAACCTGCTCAAAATACCAGAAAGAGTGGGCACCACCCTTGTGGGTTTGGGGGAAAGAGCACAGAGGATGTCAGGACAGTTTGGTACACAGATTTGCACCAGTCTAGCTCTGCCTGGCTCATAGCTCTGCTGCTGAAGTCTCAGATCTATGGGCTGAGTGGGTACAGGACCTGAGTGGTCAGGAAAAGAAGTCTTTAGGCTATGGCCTGTGCTTGTTGTGAACCACAGGCACAGGCATTTGTGCTTTGCATTCTCTAAACCAGGTGCTGGTAGGTCAGTGCTCTGCTCTCTGCAGGCCTTGATGAACACTTTGCACCACTTTTTCCACTCCAAACAGACCTGGTGGCAAATTTGCCTTTCACTCGAGTTTATTAGAGTCCTCTAAGAATCACGAAAGACATCCCAGAGTCACCACTTTGGCAGAAGGGCCAACAAGAGACAATAAAATCAACTTGGAAAAATGTTGCCTTGCCAAACAGACTACGATGCCACTTCCACAGTGATGATTTCACACTTCCCAGTGTCTTGATCTGTGCAGGTGACATGCAGGGACCCATCCCTAGGGAAAAGAGAGAGGTGTGTTAGGCACTGTCTCCACACAACACTGAGTATTGTCACTGCATGTTCCAAAGAGGATCAGAAACACTCTGCATGCAGATGGAAGGAAGAAAGATCAGCATCAAACTATCCAGGGATGAACACACTTCAGCACAGGTAAAATCAGGTGTTGAAGTCAGGCTTAGTGAGCAGTTAGAGATGCACTTCTTGCCCTCAAAACATGTGTCTTCTCCATGGATGCTGAAATAGGTTAAATATTGTAACTGAGCCCATTTAGTACAGGTTTGCAAGCAGCAAGTGCAGGAATAGTACTCAGAAGAGTCACTGTGAGAACTCTGAGAGACAGGAACACACAGGTACCTGTGTCTACACAAAGCATGACAACGTGGCTTTTCAAAGAGTAAGTGGACTCCAAGGATCTCCTTTAATGAGGAAAAGCTTCCAAGTCCAAGTGTTTGGCACTGGGGAGGTCCCAGCTCAGTGCTGTGCTCAGCTTTGGGCACAGGGAGGTGGTGCAGTCACCACCCCTGGAGGTGTTTCAGAGGTGTCTGATGTGGCACTGGAGGATCTGGGTTAGGGTTTGAGGGTTCCAGCAGTGACAGGTTAAGGGTTGGACTCCATCTCAGAGGTCTCCCCCAACCCTGATGGTTCCACGAACTCCCCAACCCTCTTCCCACAGCAAACCTGAGCTCCTGCCTGCTCTCAAGCATGGTTAACCTGATCAGCAGTTCAGAAGTGGCTAAAAATAACCTGCACAATTGTGTTAAGCTTTATTGCTCTAGGAATCAAACAATGAAAGCACCAAAGGCAGTGCAGAAAATCCACACTCCTGCAGGATTTGCCCCTGGCTAGGGCTGCAAGCAGTGAAATGCTGAAATGGAACATGCTGTAAGAGGAGCAAAGACTGCTTGGCACAGGTCTGGCACAGCAAGGTAAACAAGCAGCAGGAGAGCAAACACTGTGGGTACCTTTTCATGGTGAGAACAGTCAGTATGTCGTGCAGCCCATCCTCCTTTTTATCCAAATCCTGCAGCACAATCTAGCACAAAGAGAAGAGAATTCAATCACAATCAAGTCCTCCAAATCCTCGTGCAGCAGTTTAATGAACATACAACAGCTGAGGTGGAGTTCAGTTTGCTTAGCAACTCCTACAAGTCATTCCACATCAAACCATGCCTTAAGGGACTTCCTGATCTGCAGGGCAAATCCAGGTGTTCTTAGCTGTTTGCACTATCACTGCTGTGGTTTTTTTGCAGGATCCATCACCAAGTGACACAGATGTCATTCTAATTCTCTAACAAGGAGTGCTAGGATTGGTTTCCTTTTTTTTTTCCCCCCCAGATCCACTTGTGTTATTACTCATACCATCCCAGAATGGTTTGGGTTGGAAGGGATCTTCCAGCCCCCCCTTGCTGGGGGTTGGAACCATTTCTCCCTATGGGAAGTGCCCACGGCTGTGTCCAACACTCACCTGTGCAAATTTACCTTCTTCACTCAAGGGCCTTTTCCCCAAGGCCTCGTAGAGCTCCAGGCACACAGAGGAGGTGTTCCCAGGGGCGTGCAGGGTGTGCTGCCTTCGAGCTGGCAGTGGTGTCCCTGATGGAAATAGCACTGTGAATTTGTCAGCCCCTGACTCGTCTACTCCCTTTGGAAAGAAAAAACAGAGTTCATGCCTTTCTCTAAGTGATCCACCGAGCTGGAAGTGTTACAACATGAGGAAAGAAACTCAAGATTCATTCTCTCTGCCACATTTACCACCATAGCAAGTGAGAAACATTTCCACACAGACATGATGAAGTTGAGCTGTTATAGCACAGCACAGACACAATCCATCTGCCCTCAACATCAAGCAGGTTTTCCTGGCAACTTTTGTGCCGATAAACCTGAGTTATCTAATAAACCTCGAGGGAAAGGTCATGAGCTGAGCCAGGAGAGTCACACTGGATGTGAGGAGAAATGTTTTCCCTGTTGTGGTGTTCAGCACTGGGATATTGCTCAGGGAGGTGGTGCAGTCACCATCCCTGGAGGTGTTTCAGAGGTGTCTGATGTGGCACTGGAGGATCTGGGTTAGGGTTTGGGGGTTCCAGCAGTGACAGGTTCATGGTTGGACACGATGATCTTAGAGCTCTCCTCCAACCTTGGTGGTTCTATGGTCACCACATCCTGCTGATCAGTAGCAGAAGTAATAAACCAACATTGTTTTGTTTCTCTAACACCAAGTTTTCCAACACACTAATTTCAGCCTCACCTTCAAGAGAATATCTTTGGCAGAACACTCAATAAGTGCTTCTTCTTCTAACAAGGTGTTGTCTTTTCCTAGCAGAATTCCTGCCTCTATGGCTGCACCAATGGGAATAACCTCATCTGGAGGAATTGAATTCAGGAGTTCCACGGTTGGGAAGATGTCTTTGATCAGCTGCTGCAGCTTTGGGATTCGAGCAGAGCCACCACACAGAACCACCTGGAAAACAAACCTCAGTGAGTTCAGACCCTTCCTTGGCCAAATGAGACAGGTCACAGGCTGCAGGGCAGAAATCCAAACTGCTCTGGGATGTTTGATCACCTGTAGTTGTCAAAGCACAAATTGGTGCCCAGAAATCACACCAGGCTGGGAGGCACTTCCAGAGGGGATCTAGTCCAACCTCCTGCCCAGGAGAGGTGCAGTCACAACAGGCTGCTCAGGACCTCATCTCCACAGACTCTCTGGGCCCTTATCTCAGTGTTTGATTTCCCTCACACTACAAATCCCTTTCCTGGCACCTAAAACCTCCCCACATGGTCACTTGTGCTGCTTGCCACTCACTCTTCTCTCAGGCACCTGTAGGAAGGAGTAAGTCATTGTTCATTAGGTTCATTTACTCTTACATTTCAAGTGTTTCCCCTCCAAAAAAAGCGCCAAGACCTGAGAGAACAGCACACTGGGCCACCCAAAACCTGCTGCCCTCAGAAAAAACAAGCCATTCCCTGACCAGTGACCTGGGATACTTCATTATCCACCAATGAAACTGAGATGACACTCAGAAAACAGTAATGAAGAGCCTGAAATAGCATCAGGTACCATTCAAAGCACCAGTTAGGTTTTGCTGCAGTTTGTGTGCCAGTTTCACCAGGAAGGAATGGATGCAGCACCTTTTGCCAGGGGATGAGATAGGTAAGGACAGGGTGAGACACCTCAGTCTGCAAGGAAAACAGGGCCTGGAAACATTCCTCTTGTGGAGTTGGGAAGCACAGCACAGCTAAGTGGTGTCTCTTATTACCTTATTGATATCATCTGCTGTGAATCCAACTTGCTGCAGGAGCTTTTTAATTGCTTCCACACATTTACTGAAGAGTGAAGAACAGATGAGCTCAAACCTGGCCCTGGAAGAGGAAAAAAAGAAGACAGGATTGATTCTCACACCTCCAAACTTACTGTGCCTCATTTTAGCAGCTCCAGCTGCTGCAGCAGTGGATGCACAGTGCTGGAAAAGTCTATGTCATTCTCCCAACCAGAGCCCAGAGAAGTTCCGGGTGCCTCAATCTCTGGAAGTGTTCAAAGCCAGGCTGGATATAGCTCCCAGCAGACTGGTCTAAGTGGAAGGTATCTCTGCCCATGGGGGTTGGAACTGGGTGATCTCTAAGGTTTCTTCCAGCCCAAACCATTCCATGAGGTGGTGCAGTCACCATCCCTGGAGGTGTTTCAGAGGTGTCTGATGTGGCACTGGAGGATCTGGGTTAGGGTTTGAGGGTTCCAGCAGTGACAGGTTCAGGGTTGGACACGATGATCTTAGAGGTTTCCTCCAACCTTGATGGTTCTCAATGATCTTAGATGGTTCTAAGAGTCTATGCTAACAGACACAAAGCAAACTGACCTTCTATCTCACTTCCATTTCTAACACGTACACCCTCAGGAATCAAAGCTCCTAAATTCCATTTAGGAAGACTTAAAGGACAGTTCTACATCAAAGCAGCAGCTTCAAGATGTGCCTTACCTGGACACATTGCAGTCAAAGTCCAACCCATCATACAGAGAGTCCACAAAACAGTTTGCACTCCCAAGGGTGGACAGAGAGTGCTTGGCAATGTCAGCACTGTTCATCAGCTTCATCATGGCCCTGGGGTTCCCCCTAATGTCATGTTTACAAGACCTGCATTTAGGAACAGAGAAGACATCGGTTTAGAAAGGAAGGCACTGGAGTGCTGGTGCTAGCTGAAAGGAAAAGCAAGTCAGAGCCACTTGTTTCTTTCCCTGCAGACATTTTAGCCATGACTACAATGCCACCCTTGAAAGCTTGAGAAGAACAAGTGTTTATTTCCACCTCAACTAAAGGCCACTGTGTGAGGAAGCAGCCTGAACTCTGCCATTAATCATACACATCAGCCTCTCTGAACAGTTTCTCAGCTCAGCAAATCCTCTAAGTGGCTGCAAGGAACAGCAAGAAAAGGTCTGCGAGTTACCTGTTTTTAACCACAGGTGGAGGAAAAATAGAGCAGTGAACATTGGGCATTAGTATGTTCCATCCTGGAGTCATGGATGGAGTCACCATCCCTGGAGGTGTTTCAGAGGTGTCTGATGTGGCACTGGAGGATCTGGGTTAGGGTTTGGAGGTTCCAGCAGTGACAGGTTCACAGTTGGACTCAGTGACCTTAGAGGTCTCCTCCAGCCCTGATGGTTCTATGATGCAAAAAGTCTCTTTTTGTGACAGGATGCAGCTGATCACCTCAAGATCACTGAGCTTGTGGTAACACATCTGTGCCATACAGACCTCAGTCTCCACAGTCTTCTCCACCAAGAATAAACCCAAACATACCCACACAAGTCAGTTCTTGTGCCTGAAAGGAGCTCAGCAGCAGCCTGGAGTCACCAATAGCACTCAAAACACACAACAGCTTATGGCTGAGCCCTTAGGGTTCAACACCAACTGCAGGCAACATCCACCCAGACCCAGGCACTGCCCAGTCTCACCCCCAACAACTGACTGTTCCTTGAACACCTCTGTCTGAGCTGTTCCACTCAGGATTTCCTTCCCAAAAGCAAGCAGCAGGTGATGAAGTTTCTGCCCTAACAGCACCACACTTGGAATTCAACGCTCACCTCTGGAATTCAGAAGCCAAGTGCTGTGCCAGAGCTTCTGTGAAGCAAACCCCACCAATGCTGTCATCTGTGTTGGTGGCAAGCACTCGATAGATCCCACTGTTCACTTCCAGGACTGTGATGGAGAGGGATGTTCCACCAAGTTTGTAAACCAACACGTTGCTGCCAGGGTGAAAAACACATGGAAAGGAGCATTGTTAAGCCATCTAAAATGGTGCTAACTCTGACACAGTCAATAAAGATCAACCACCACGGAATGTATTGAAGGTTTCACTCAGGTCAGATCTGGGCATTTAATGCACCTCCTCGAGAACACTCCATGGAGAACCAAACAAGAGGGAACAGCAAAAATTGAAGTCCAGGAAGTTCCACCTGAACATGAGGAAGAACTTCTTTGCTGTGCAGTCCCTGAGCACTGAACAGATTGCCCAGAGAGGTGGTGGATTCTCCTCACTGAGGTGTTCCAGAGCCCTCTGGACACAACCCTGAGCCATGTGCTCTGGGCTGGCCCTGCTGGAGCAGGAGGTGGGACCAGATGAACATTGTGGTCCCTTCCATCCTCATTGATGCTGCGATTCCCTCATTCCAGATTTCCCAGGATTTAAGTACAGCAGTTTAAACTTAAGAGTAAAACCTTAGGACTTTACCTTTTCCCAGTGGGTGAATCTTGGCCAATTCCATATGCCAGGAGAGCTGCAGATGGTTCATGGATTAATCTCATCACATTAAACCCAGCGGCTGCAGCTGCTTCCCTGTGAGAAGGCAGAACAGCATTCCATTTTCCTTCCAGGACTTCACTGCAGCCACAAACTATTACCATTCTGGATGTGCCACTGGAGGATCTGGTTTAGGATTTAGGGATTCCAGCAGTGACAGGTTAAGGGTTGGACTCAATGATCACAGAGATCTCCTCCAACCCTGATGGTTCCATGATTCTTTAGGCATGTTAAATACAGAACAATCTTACTCCTCTTACCCAAGGGCATTTTTCTGATTCTCTCCAAAATCAAATGGCACAGTGACAACAACATCATTCACATCTGAGCCCAATGCAGACTGAGCAGTCTCTGTTGGAAAATACAGGCAGGACATGAGTGAAAGCCAAACCCCCAACACCTTGAAAACCCAAGGGCAGCTAAAAAACCTAAACTATGCAATGAGTTTAATTGTCATATACCTTTCATCTTACTGAAAATTAGTTTTGCCACATCCTCTGGGTGGATGAGTTTATTATCTATTTCATATTGGAGTTTTCCATTCTTCTCAACGATCTGTAGGCAAAACCAACACAACTTTGTTAGATATGTCATTTGGTTAGGAACAAAAAGGAATAGTTCATTTAGGTTCTGTTCAAGGTGAAAAGCACTGGGCTGTGTGAATGTTCTCTGCATTAGTACTCTGCCACAAGGGAGTGTCTGATGGCCCAGAGAGCTGTGGTGAGTGGAGCTCAGTCCAGTTGGGGCTGTCACCAGTCATGTTCCCCAGGGCAACGAGGGCAGCAAAAGGCTGAGGGAGTTGGGTTGGTCAGCCTGGAAAAGAGGCTCAGGGGTGACCTCCTGGCTCTCTGCAACTCCTGCCAGGGCTGGAGAGAGGTGGGGGATGTGTGTCCTGCCAGGGCTGCAGTGTTCAGAACACAAGTCCTTGCCTGGTTATATTTCCTAAGGAAAACCTCAGCTATTTATAATAGCATGTCCAGATGAGCAGTCAAAACCCAGGAAAAGACTTGTTTCTTCTTTGGGAATGCCTTGTCCAATTTGTCTCTTATTTTGCAAGAGAATTTGTTTTGCCAAAGTATTTGATTCCTTATCCAAATGCAACACGGAGATGAAATCACTTAAGCATTTTTATCACTAGGTACTGTGTTGAGGTAGAAGCTCAACACGTTCTACCAGTGTTAACAAAGAGCACAATGCTACCACCCCAAAGCATGAAGCTCCACCCCTTTGGAGAATGGCCAAGGGACAGATGTAACTTTCCTGTTGGCCTCTATTGTGCTGGCAGAACCCAGAGAGAAACCTACCACAGAGGGACCTCCTACCAGGAGAGCTGATCACCCCAGAACTCAGCCCTGGTGTGGCAGAAACGGTGACAAGATGAAGTGGCACAGGTTATACTCACAGAGCATTTGCTTTCTGCAATGTATTTCTCTGCCTGTGGGTCACCAGAGCTGTGCAGACCAATAAAAAGGGACAAAGTAAATCATATGCTCAAGGATAAGTGCACAAATCATTCCTCATGACAACTACAGCATATCAAGCTCTGCTTCAACCAAATATCTCCACTCTAGGGATACATTTATGCAGCAGAAATAAACCAACAGTTCTGACTATTGGCACCTTTCAATCTCCTTTCCCCAAACTAAGGATTGAAGAAACACCTAGTAATTAAGGAGAATAAACCCCAACACAGTGTTTGAACCTCCCCAAATAAAAGACCTCAGTAAAGTTCTGCATTTGGAGAGTGCTGAGAAAGACATCAGAATGGGCAACAACCTGTGGCTCCCTGCAGTGAAGGGCTGGGACACACAGGTAGGGCATCACTGAAAGGTTCTGCCCCATCTCGACATCAGAGCTCACCCAACAGTTTTAGTTCTAGTGCCACCAGTGCAAACCACCACAACTGCACTAACTGAGGCATCAGGACAGGGAGGTGGTGGACATCCAGACACTTCTTAAACACCTTCAGGGATGGTAACTCCACCACCTCCCTGGGCAATATCCCAGTGCCTGATCTCACAGTTTGAGTTTTGCAGAGAAATTCAAACATAAAATACTACCTGTTTCTTTACTCCTGGAAAGAAATGGAAACTAAGAAGCTCCTAATAGCAACCTGGTCTAGAGGGAGGTGTCTCTGCCTGTGGCAGAGGGGTTGGGATGAGATGATCTTTAAGGTCCAGGACCCCAGGAATGGTCTGAAGTTGTGTCAGGGGAGGGTTAGGCTGGAGATTAGCAACTGGTTCTTCTTCCCCCAGAGGTGTTGGGGCACTGAACAGCTCTCCGGGCAGTGGGCACAGCCCCAAGGCTGACAGAGCTCAGGGAGTGTTTGGTCAATGCTCTCAGCACAGGGTGTGATTGTCAGGGATGTCTGTGCAGGGCAGGAGTTGGACTGCACACTGTCATCCCACTGGGTCAAAACACCTTCAGTGTCAGTGCTGAGACACTTCACTGCTCAGATCTAAAGGGCAACAACAACCTTCTCACCTTCCTTCTCACACCTGCTCTCTTACCTTCTCCCCAGGATCTGCTTTACTTTCACCACAGTATTTGCAATATTCCTTATCCTGCTTTGCTTTGCAGCTAAGCCAACAACCTGGGTGGAAAAGGAGAGGAAGGAAGGAGAGAGAAGGTCAGCAGCAGGCACAGCCCCTGTCCCACCCACCCCATGGGGGCTGCCTCACCTCCTCACTCGCTGAGAAGGCCACGACAGCAGGAGTCACCCTGTCCCCAGAGTCGTTGGCAACCACATCTGCTCGGCCATCCTGGGGGAGAGGGAGAATGAGAGGGAGGGAAGAGAGAGGGGGAATGAGAGAGAGAGGGGAAATGAGATAGGGAGGGGGGGAATGAGAGAGGGAGGGAGAGAGA